CCTTTTACTGCCCAGTTCTCGGGGTTCAAAAACACCGCAGGCTGTTGGACATTGTTCACGCTTGTTCCAGTTGGGTTGGTTGACAGAAGAAAGAATTAGGGATTTTGAAGAAATCTGCTGGAGACTATGACTTCTCACACTGTGTATCGTTATATACTTAGACCCATTCTGATACAGGTTCATCCAGCAATTCCCTCTTTTCCCCCTTATTTCCTTCACATAAAATCATCTCCCCCTGTTTGCAATCATTTCCTCCTACTTCTTCACTGTCCCCTCATTTCCTTCCTGCAGTCACATTTGTTCGCTATTTTCTTAAGCCTGTTTGCAAGTCAGAGAATAGCATCGCTCCTTGTCATTGTCATGGCAACATCTCTCTCTCTAGCTACAGAGCTTAGTGGTAAATGATATCTTTGCTCCCAGAAGAATATAACAGATGGTGAATTGACATTCACCCCAATCCTGCCCCTCTTTCATGCTGTCCTCCATCACCCTGCCCAGCTGGATAATACAAGTGTAGAAGTTTTCATCCAGTTTATGGAATTCTTCTACCTGGGCTGACTCGTTTACTTTCACAACATTAGCCCCTCCAGGTATCTAGAACATACAGATTCAGATCTGCTGTCTCCATCCAAATGAGCCACAGATCAATGGGTGTGTCCACGTGCTGAGCCTACATGGGTCTTTAAATCAGGGCCACTCCCTGCTCTGCTCTCCCATGGCATTTCCTCCAAACAAAACTGTATCCAGGTAAGATGGAGATGTTTCGTTTTGGTTTCAGTAGTGCATATGCTAGATATTTTATATAAAATATCTTTGACAACAACACAGTGCAGTCTAGTTTATACATTTTACACTATGAAAATGTCACAGCTCCTGCCCAATCTTGGCTGATCTTGAAAAGCTAAGCAGGTCTGCCCTGGTTAGTATTTGGATGAGAAACTGCCAGGAAACCCCACCACTAGAGTGGTCAGAAAAAGCCCCGAAGGAAGGCAATGCCAAAATTCTTTAGTGTTCTTGTGAAGAAAGCACCATGGCAAGTCCCTGTAGTTACCAGGAATGGAACTCAGTTCAAGGTAGACTTTACTTTTCTTATGCATGCTAACTTTTAAACTGTCCTCAAGCTATTGCTGCTCAATCCTTTAGCAGCTCTGCAATTGTAATATAATCCCCATGGTAACAAGGACCCTGCTTGTTCTTTTTTCTGAGGCAAGGCTGTGTGAAGAAACTAACAAGGTCTGCCATCCTGTTACATGGTCACCCAGAGACATCATCTGTACTTAGAAGGCAGTAAACTGGTCTGGGAAAGTGCTGATCTGGAGCAGTCAAACTTTTTTTCCACACACACAAAATACAGTTCTTACTGGTGGGAACAGAAAATTGAAAAGGTAGAGATGGAGGGAGGTATGGGTGGAGTGCTACCATCAATCATGTGGTGAGCAGTGGGAGATACGGTGGGAATCTGAGGATGGCCCACTCTTGGGGTTGACAGGTTGGACGACCTGGGTGGACCCAGGAAGCAGCTCTGACAGCTTATTTGTGTGCCAGTTGCACCTATTCTTGGGTCAAGGGGCCCTCCTCATGGTCTCTCATGCCTTTGTCACCTCACAGTCAGACTACTGCAATGCTGCGATGGAATGGAATTATGAAGGCCAAGCTCAGGGAGACAAACATTTTCTTAGCTCGCCAGAA